ACATCGATCGTCTGTGCACTGTGGCTAATGGAGGGGAATATGATTACTAGAATACTTGAATCTACGCTAACAAAGATGCCTGCTATTTTTTTTTTTAACTAAATGTGGCTTTTTTCTGTTTACCCTTGAAGTCTGTGCACCCCCCCCCCCCCCAAAGTGACGATTGGAACAAAAATAATCTACACTACCTGAGAATGCTTCAATGTAAATAGGATTAATCATGGCTTTGCTGTATATCACAATGTAAGACTTTCAACGTCCCCTGTGGCCCCTCCCTACCCCCCCCGGGGGGGGGGGGGTCATGATTTAAACAAACTTGAATCTACACTACCTGAGGATGCTTTCATATAAATATGACCAAACAATGGCAAACATGGCTTTGCTGTTCTTGAGAAGAAGATTTTTAAAGATTTTTCCTAAATATTTCTATGTAAAACGTTGATCGTCCCTTGTGGCCCCACCCTACCCCCAGGGGTCATGATTAAAACAATCTTGAATCTACACAACCTAAGGATGCTTCCACATAAGTATAATCAATTATGGCTTTGCTGTTCTTGAAAAGAAGATTTTCAAAGATTTTTCCTATATATTTCTATGTAAAACTTTGATCGTCCCTTGTGGCTCCGCGCTACCCCCGGGGGTCATGATTTGAACAAAAGTGAATCTGCACTACCTAAGAATGTTTCCATATAGGTATGACTAATCATGGCTTTGCTGTTCTTGAGAAGAAGATTTTTAAAGATTTTTCCTTTATATTTCTATGTAAAACTTTGATCGTCCCTTGTGGCCCGCCCTACCCCCGGGGGTCATGATTTGAAAAAAGTGAATCTACACTACCTAAGGACGATTCCCCATAAGTTTCATCTTTCCAGCCACAGTGGTTCTTGAGAAGAAGATTTTTAAAACATGCCACCAAATTTTCACTAATTCCCAATTACATGTATCTCCCCTTAAACTGGGGCATGGCCCTTCATTTGAGCAACCTTAAATCCCCTTTACTCAAGGATGCTTTGTTGCAAGTTTGGTTGAAATTGGCCCAGGGGTTCTGGAGAAGAAGTCGAAAATGTGAACAGTTTACAGACAGACGGACGACGGACAAAATGTGATCGGAAAAGCTCACTTGAGGTGAGCTAAAAACACCGAAATATGCACCTTTCTCTTACTAAATGTGACAAGCTCTTTATTGGAATACGTAAATATTTTCATTCACCAAAATAATATTTTCGCTCCTTGCTTTTGAAGAAACTGGCATTTTCAAAGACGCAAAATGTAAAAGGGAGCCACTGGGAAAAAATGTAAATTTTGATGGATGAAACCTGGCCTGGGGGCCATAAAACTTAGACGAGCTCACGTTTGATCTCAGTCTCACTTTTTCCAAAGGAATATATAGTGGAAAAGTGAGACTGAGATCAAAAGTGAGCTCGTCTAAGTTTTATGGCCCTCAGGCCAGAGAGGAGGTTCTTAAGGTCATACGCAATGTAGTTTGAAATTTATTGGGTTCTTCCGTGGAGTTGAAGAGTTCCACTAAATTAAGGACCCGTGTGCAATACATTTAATGTCTATATATGGAATTGTACACCTTTTCTAAAACAATTTTTGTTGAAAAAAAAATCTGGAATTTATGTTTTGTAATTTTTGTGTATTTTCCTTGAAAATGCAAAATTTTTCACAATTTGATATCTTTTCAAAACAATGGAATCCGGCACCATCGAGGTTTAGGTCGATAGTGCGATGAAGAGATAATGCGATGACGATGAGGCGATGGTGCGATAGCAATGAAGTGATGGTGCGATAGCGCGATGACGATGGTGCGATAATGCGATGACGCGATGGTACGATGACGCGATGGTATATAGTGGACACAATAATGAAGCGATATTCACTATCGCTGATCGCACCATCGCCATCGCATTATCGAACCATAGCATCATCGTCATCGCGCTATCGCATCATCGCTTCATCGTTATCGCACCATCGTTTCATCGTTATCGCGCCATCGCATTATCGCACCATCGACCTTTAAGTTGATGCTCGATGGTGCGATAGTGAAGTGCGTGGCCCTATCCGGATTTCATACAAAACCCCTGGTAACGCATGCTGATTTTTTGTCTAAGAACATGTAATGATATTGTAAGTTAAAATTTAGAATATCTTGAAAAAATATCAGTAGGTGATGTACGTTGCGTATGTCCTTAAAACTTGATAAAGAGAATATACCATTAGAAGATATACAGTCATCAAGGGTCCAAGTGAAATTTTCTACTAAAACTGAACAGTTCTGAATGTTCAGAAGTTCAGAGATCTCCCTCCCAAAAAGAAAACATTGTTCTTTTGCTTCCTTTGTATGTTCATGCGTTTCATCAAGCAAGAACCTGACTGAATTTTCAACTTTTAAGAAACATCCTGTGTTTGTTTGCTTTTAATATTTAGGAATGTTTAGGGGAGTACTTAATTTCACCTTTTTCGTTTTTCACGTCATCTACCCCCCCCCCCCCCCTTTCCCCAGCTTTACACTATTCAATGTCAGAGTAAAATCATGTACGCCCCTATTTAGTTAAACTTACAGAGTCATCCTAACAACAAAACAAGTCTAATCGAAAAGAAAACAACCATGTAAATCAGTCACTAAAATTAAGCTAAACATCCACAGGCAAAACGTATTATTATCTGAAATAATAAGAAGGGTGGACAAACCGATAGCAACACTCTATGTCATGATCATTACGTGGGAAGACAAGAAAGAAGAACTCTAGAAATCAAGCAATTCAGTTTTATTTCAATGTCATTCAAAGTCAATTAAAAAAATAATGTAAGAAACTTTCAAACTCACAGAAATACAAACTTATTTAGTAACAAATGAAACATAAAGAAACTACCAACTCAAAAAAGTGAAGTAAAAAATCGAAATTCTAAAAATGCAATTTTAAGAGATTTATTCAATTTTATTTCAATGTCATTCAAAGTCAATTAAAAAAAATAATATAAGAAACTTTCAAACTCACAGAAATACAAACTTATTTAGTAACAAATGAAACATAAAGAAACTACCAACTCAAAAAAGTGAAGTAAAAATCGAAATTCTAAAAATGCAATTTTAAGAGATTTATTCAATCTTATTTCAATGTCATTCAAAGTCAATTTAAAAAATAATACAAGAAACTTTCAAACTCACAGAAATACAAACTTATTTAGTAACAAATGAAACATAAAGAAACTACCAACTCAAAAAAGTGAAGTAAAAATCGAAATTCTAAAAAATGCAATTTTAAGAGATTTATTCAATTTTATTTCAATGTCATTCAAAGTCAATTAAAAAAATAATATAAGAAACTTTCAAACTCACAGAAATACAAACTTATTTAGTAACAAATGAAACATAAAGAAACTACCAACTCAAAAAAGTGAAGTAAAAATCGAAATTCTAAAAATGCAATTTTAAGAGATTTATTCAATTTTATTTCAATGTCATTCAAAGTCAATTAAAAAAATAATATAAGAAACTTTCAAACTCACAGAAATACAAACTTATTTAGTAACAAATGAAACATAAAGAAACTACCAACTCAAAAAAGTGAAGTAAAAATCGAAATTCTAAAAATGCAATTTTAAGAGATTTATTCAATTTTATTTCAATGTCATTCAAAGTCAATTAAAAAATAATATAAGAAACTTTCAAACTCACAGAAATACAAACTTATTTAGTAACAAATGAAACATAAAGAAACTACCAACTCAAAAAAGTGAAGTAAAAATCGAAATTCTAAAAAATGCAATTTTACGAGATTTATTCAATTTTATTTCAATGTCATTCAAAGTCAATTAAAAAAATAATATAAGAAACTTTCAAACTCACAGAAATACAAACTTATTTAGTAACAAATGAAACATAAAGAAACTACCAACTCAAAAAAGTGAAGTAAAAATCGAAATTCTAAAAATGCAATTTTAAGAGATTTATTCAATTTTATTTCAATGTCATTCAAAGTCAATTAAAAAAATAATATAAGAAACTTTCAAACTCACAGAAATACAAACTTATTTAGTAACAAATGAAACATAAAGAAACTACCAACTCAAAAAAGTGAAGTAAAAATCGAAATTCTAAAACTGCAATTTTAAGAGATTTATTCAATTTTATTTCAATGTCATTCAAAGTCAATTAAAAAAATAATATAAGAAACTTTCAAACTCACAGAAATACAAACTTATTTAGTAACAAATGAAACATAAAGAAACTACCAACTCAAAAAAGTGAAGTAAAAATCGAAATTCTAAAAATGCAATTTTAAGAGATTTATTCAATTTTATTTCAATGTCATTCAAAGTCAATTAAAAAAATAATATAAGAAACTTTCAAACTCACAGAAATACAAACTTATTTAGTAACAAATGAAACATAAAGAAACTACCAACTCAAAAAAGTGAAGTAAAAATCGAAATTCTAAAAATGCAATTTTAAGAGATTTATTCAATTTTATTTCAATGTCATTCAAAGTCAATTAAAAAAATAATATAAGAAACTTTCAAACTCACAGAAATACAAACTTATTTAGTAACAAATGAAACATAAAGAAACTACCAACTCAAAAAAGTGAAGTAAAAATCGAAATTCTAAAAATGCAATTTTAAGAGATTTATTCAATTTTATTTCAATGTCATTCAAAGTCAATTAAAAAAATAATATAAGTAACAAATGAAACATAAAGAAACTACCAACTCAAAAAAGTGAAGTAAAAATCGAAATTCTAAAACTGCAATTTTAAGAGATTTATTCAATTTTATTTCAATGTCATTCAAAGTCAATTAAAAAAATAATATAAGAATCTTTCAAACTCACAGAAATACAAACTTATTTAGTAACAAATGAAACATAAAGAAACTACCAACTCAAAAAAGTGAAGTAAAAATCGAAATTCTAAAAATGCAATTTTAAGAGATTTATTCAATTTTATTTCAATGTCATTCAAAGTCAATTAAAAAATAATATAAGAAACTTTCAAACTCACAGAAATACAAACTTATTTAGTAACAAATGAAACATAAAGAAACTACCAACTCAAAAAAGTGAAGTAAAAATCGAAATTCTAAAAATGCAATTTTAAGAGATTTAAAAAAAAAAACAATAAGAATTAAAGTGTTAAATTATAAAAATGTTCAAAGAAAAAAAACAAGGTTGGCATACAAACAAACAAATAGTAAACGCCAAGAGAAGGTTGATTTTTACGGTAAAAAACATTTCATAGTACAACCACGATTCACAATTATATTGAAGGTTCACCTGACTGATCAAAAAGGCAGTATTGACGAACTTCAAATCATAATTTAATGTCCTTTTTATTCACTTAATTTTGTATTTTGGTAAGGGTGGTCCTCCTTTGTAAGATGGTTTTGCAAACGGCTAAGAAATGATTCCGGTCTCTGTAATTCAATCGATTTACCAAAATTTTTCTTCGTTTACCTCTGAGTAGAATTGGGGCTAATATGTATAAATTTTACAGATCTAATCAATAGCTTCCAACCTTTAAGATTAATTTCTATCCTTAATGATCTCACTTCTTTGCCAAACAAAATGTCGAAATGACTATGAGAGCTAGAACCACTAAATGCAAATACACGTTGATATCCAAAGAGAGCATTAACAATAGTGTACACTGATTAATCCCAAGACGTACATTATGTTTAATTTGCAGTATATTTGAAATGAGTATTGCTGTTAAGGGCATTTTCTATTATCGATTCACAAGAGATATGGATGAATTATTGCAAGGTGAAATTGGTGGCATGTCGGAGGGGTGGGGGGTGGGGTGGGGGTAGAAATGGATTTACTTACTGAGAAAGTACCGATATTCTCACTCAATTTTCCTACTTCCCGTATACATTACGAAAAGGATTTATTCAAGAATTTTTTTAAAAGTATTATGAGCTCTAAAAGGAGGTGTTCTAACTACAAGTTGAGTACCCTGAAATAGACAAAAATAAGACACGTTGGCGTGTATTTTTAAATAAATATCCTTAACAACACAGAGGAAAATAGAATGCAATTATTTATCTGCCAAGCATTTATTTTTCAGGTTCGAATAAATCCCGATGATAGCAAATTGTAACTGGCCTGTTTTTTCTTTTTTGAAAAAATAAGAGATTTGTAAATTAAATTTCTTCCCAATGCAAACATATATACATGTTTAGCACCACTTACATATACATGTATTGTAAAACAAAGCACTAGTTTGTGACAAATATAAGCTACAGATCTGCCACACATACAGATTACATGGTAACCGCGGCGTTCATATCCTGTAACTTAAAGTGGAACTTATAATTGTATTTTTTTTAATTTGTCCAGTTCTGAACGTTGAACTCTATCAGTGCATTGAACAGGTTTTCTCCTTTCGGATTACTGGTGTAAATTGCTCTCTCGTATGAGATAAACAACAAGAAAACCCCGATCCTTTGATATTGCGGGTGTTGCCTCGCTTTTTACACCCTCATGATAAATTTTCCTCATATCCTGTCAAAAGTTAAGCTGGTTTTATCCTGCCGTATCTTATACAACGGGAATTCTTTTGGTCCTATGCTGACGGGAACACGTTACTATCCTTTATGACTTGGTTACAAATCCTCACCGTTCTCCGTATTTAACATTTTCTGATCTGAATGGTTGCTTAGGGAATGTGTGTCCATTTCACTTTCTTCTAAATTTTCTTCTATAGGTTCATCTAAAAATTCTTTCTCAACTGTTAAATGTTTTCTTTCGTGAGAGCCGTTTGAAAGTTGTGAAATCACTGAAGTTTGAGTGGTTAACTGTACATAAGCGTTTGGTTGAAATGTGTCTCTTTGCACAGAATCTGATGGAGCAAGAGAACGGAATAAAAACACGACATGAAGGATACCTAAAACTAGATTTCCACATCCTCCAAAACCGGCAAGAAGGAGGGATGAAGGAAAGGCAAACGTTCTGGTAGAATCTGGTTTTAATTCTTCCAGATTTGCATTAGCAGATACTTCTGCAGTCCAGTTAAAAACTACCGCCATCAACAGGCAAACTGTAAAAGGAAAGTTATACACCATTTCATTAAGTATCACAAGAAATTATGTTGGATGTTAGTCAAATACTGGTCTTTTTTATGAAATGAATCAAATTAGAGACGTATGATACGAATTCAATTACAATTATTTTTTTTTTCTAGTTACAGATAGTGTGTGAATGGGGGGGGGGGGGGGGGAGGAGAGGATCAATTGCATCTCACGACCAGAGTTTGTCAATTGTCACTCGAATCTTTGGTTTGATACATATGATTTAATATGGATATCATACTAACACATCAATAGTATATACTTACATGAAATGAATGAACACACCACAATAATTAAATGATGGCGCAGGACGTGCCTGGGTTTGCAGAGAAATGGAACACATGTGACTGCAGACACAATGGAGAAAATCAGGGCTATTGTTGTTAAGGTCTGCGACCATACACGCAGAGAATATTGTATTTCTGTAAAATAGAGTGGAGTTTCAAGTAACATCATTTGTGCATTAACATCTAAACACACAAACTCTAGGAAAAAAATATAGAAAAATATAATTATTTAATATGGCCTATTGTAAGCGCTTTTGGGTCTTCCTATTGTCTCCAAGACTGAAGGACTCGATTTTCATTGAAAATCGGTATTATATGAATGTTAGATGAGCTCAGCAGGAAATTACATCCATATTCAGAGATAAAAAGAACCACGGGCAATTTTATTGACAAGATACTTAGGATTCAGCAGATCCATTATAAACACTAGAACAGACGGTAATAAGATATTCAAACACAGCGATCAATATTGTCCATTTCACACACCTTAAGAGCTGCGATGTGATAATTGTGTAGAAATGTAATTTTCTGGGGGGGAAAAAAGCAGCAGATTATATAAGCAGCAATCGATAAATTGAGGACGTGATTCTGAAAACATCTAACAAATAAGACAAACTGTGCATAGTTGTGTTCGGAGGCTATGTAATGTGACTGAATATGGTTAAAAGGTATTTTTTTAAGGAATGTATTGATTTAATGTAGATAAACTAAAAATGACATTAAAATCAAAGCAAAGCAATACAGCACACATCGTTATCGCCTGCTATCTTTCAGCTTGTTGGTTTTCATAATAAATAGAAAGTAAAAATGTTTTTATTTCCATGGTAATAGTTTGTGTAATAGAGTCTTTCTTGCGTGTTCACTTGTAACAACAATTAATATAAACGGTTACTGAACACAGCAGTGACTCAGTCACAATACAGAGACGAAAAATGCAGGCAGAACTCTTAATTATCAACAGATGTACTCACACATACAATCAGACAAAATAAGTATACACTAGAGTATGTAGGTACGGAATCAATATAAAAAGACAATACCTTTGTAGTTCCTGCCAGCGTCTATATCTTCCCTGTAGGTGTCTAAATGAGTGGTGGATCTACAGGCGCCGTTCTGGCACGTTACAGTGTACCAGAGTCCAGTGTAGATTTTGATGCTGCTGACTTGACCATTTTCAGTGATGAAGTCTGTCATTACGACCCAGGTATGTGTGCTGAAAGCTATGGTCTGGAATAAAGTCGACAGACAGGCCAGCCCCAAAGACAGAATGCAGAAAAGAGGACTCATTACGAACCTATTAGCTGCACTGTTAAGCCCGTCTACCATTCTACTCATCTAGTTCATGGCCCTGAAAATGAATACGAGCGTACATGAAATTGACATGTTGGCAAGGAAACACACAACATTAATCAGACTCCCGAGTATGATGATTTATAAACTAGAATGTTTACAACAGAAAGAAACATTTTATAATTTAAAGAAGGAAAGATATTTTAAAATTCAATATCTACTGTATTAACCTTCATTTCCTAGTGTTTTTTTTAAATATCATAAATTCCCTTCTGATAATTTTCTTTATATCCTGATAATTTAAAAATCATAGTATCGCCAGATATGTTCCTATATGTAGAACCCCCTCCGACGAAAAAAGCATGTATTTAATACGTAGGCATTTAAAACAGGTATCAAATGATGGAAATACAGAAAACTTGTTTTTGAAAGAATTTTTTAAAAAATGGTTTAGATGGTTTCTCGAACTCTGATTCAGAGGAGGTGCACAGCATAACCTAACACCATATAAAGCTGCAAAAAGTCCATTATTTGAACTCTTCAAAACTAAGCTGTGTGTCTAAATGACAGATCACATTTGCTAACAAGGTCATTGTTTCGACCATAGAATTTGTAAAATGTGGACCATAAACGAGACTGTTGATACCCTTGTTTCATCAACTCGGTTTATTTCATTTTCGAAATTGTTCATATGTAGAACCTGCTCTAGCTATCGATAATTGGTAGACATTAACTCCACAAGCAGGTGATAATGGTTTATTGCTACATAAATATGGGAATTTGACGACAGAAAATTGAAGTCATCACGTTTATCATAAAGATTAGTTGTCATTTTTGCATAAATTAAGTCTGAAAAGTCTTAAATTTTGATTCGCCTTTCTTGTGCAACGTACTACAGACACGAATTTGAAAAAAAAAATTAGAATGAATTAAAAACCAAATTCAAGATTTTGTGAAAACTGCAAATATTAATCTGTATAATTCTAGACATCATTATTGTTACTAACGCTTTAATACCAGGGTCAAGGCTTTTGATGCTAACTGGTTTCTGTCCAAAGACAGTGACTGTAGTGCTTCAAACAACAATGAGGATTTAAAGCAACTTTAGTGGACTCAGGAAATGGGGGGGGGGGGGGGGGGGGCGCGCGCGCGCGCGCAAGACACCCCCCTCATCTGCGGAAAAACGTTTAGAATAAACCACTACTGTATTTTACAAGTATAAACTAAGCTTTTAGTTGCAGACTTGATCACCGCACCCCTGGTCAGATTTTTAAATTGTTTCTATTCAGTTGATTTTAAAAAATACTGTATCGATCCATTATACATGTATTTATTAATCTTAAGAAAGTTTGAGAAAAGGAAGATTCTAACAAAATTTCGAATTTCTTCTCAAAATCTGATGATTGATTAGGGTAGACATTACAGAATATGTGTATACCAAGAGAAGATAGAATAAGTCCAACTGTAAATTAAAAGAGGTAGGAAATGAAGTATATTTTCTTTTAGGTTGTCCATGCCATAGTCAATCAAGAATGAATTTACTATCCACCATATTATCTATGAGGTCTTCTTTTTAATAGTTTGTCTAAAAATAACCAACTTTTATGGTTAATGAACTGTGAAGATGTTGATTTGCTGTGCAAATTATGTGAATTCATTAGTCATGTATAGTTAGACAAATTTAGTCATATGATGACACTTTTACTCACAAGTACCTTAATTCACTACTTATGTCACACAATGTTATGTTGTTGATATGTGTGTTACTCTACATTGAACAGAAGTGGATAACTTCTAATAATTATCTGTTTATTCTACATGATTGAGACGTAAGTGGAATTATGTTTATCCTTTAGCACCGACTCTTGTTGCCTCTTGTTGATGTAACAAACACAGTTTTATATGTTTAGATATACAATGTATGTATATCATAAATAATAATAACGCACAAGTTTGCACAACAACCCATCATGCATGTCTACATATGAAAGTTAAAAATGCATGCATTTCGAGACTTTTAGCATCCCCCCCCCCCCGTAAATGTTCCTCATTGGGAACGATGTTATATTCCTTCATACTTAATTCATCAAAATGAGAGTGACTGCATTTCAATTTCAACATCTTCGGTTTCAGATTGCTGTTGTGAACTTTTTTCTCTCGATATAATCTTTCATTTAGTTCGGTCGAGCATGGATTTTGAACAAAATGTTTTCTTATACACAAGGATACCTAAGGTTATTTATAATTTTATGTTGAACAGAGGCATACATTGTATTAGGTAATTAATTATTTCGAACCACATAAGCCAGCCTTGGTTGTAGAATATACCCAGGACTTACCTACTCCCGATCAATACAGGTCAGGTAAATCTTGTGTGCAAGATTAACAACAACACGATTGTTTGCTTCAATCACTGCCAATTATTGTGCAAAATAAGAACGAAACTTACCGCCATGGCATTTCCAGGGTATTTACAATTAATCACACAGCTATGTACCTGTCCAAGACCTTACCTTCTTTCACTATCACTGTGTATTACCATAGTGCACACCATTGTCTTTATTTACAACATAATTAACACTGGCATTTAAAATCGGGGTACGGATTATTAACAAAGTCAATCCCTCTCGGGAAGTTAAAACGTTAATAAAATTAAATCGGGTCAATAAAAAGGCCCACTATGGACAAAGAAAATTTAAAACGAATACGTTAAAATTGTACATAAACGGCACAATACAACCTATTCTCAGTTGCAACAAGTGACACTTTGAAACGTTCACCTACATTTTGTACGAGGTAAAATAATGAGTCAAAGCATATTTACCTTTTCATGGCTCATGATGTGACAAGAGTAAAACGTGTACACACTGTATTTATATCCTCTTCTATCAATCAGTGAGACCTCACTATACAGTGCAGTTGACTAGGATCAATTTATTCAGCTGAGTTTCTCCTCTCCTGTGCGCGGTAAACTGTCCCCACCTCATCAGCACAAATAATAAAAGGCCTTCACGCTACACTGGCATTTCCATTAAAGTAATGTTATAATACTGACAATGATCCCCCCGAATGGCGGATGTTTCAAATCTGTATTTATTTTTCACAAGTTGTGTGTAATCTGATTCATTTTAAAAATCGCACACAAAAACACTTTCCGATCATGTTTGAAATTTTATCTTGTCCAACAATGTGACAGTTATCTCAAATAACGTGTTGACCGTCTCAGGTTCTTTGGTTCTGAAAAGGGGAAAAGGCACGATCGCGATCAATAGAACCCCTTGTCATGTTTTCTCTATTGAGAATACCGACTAAAAAACTGGGTTTTTCTTCTTTAGTTGCTTTTCATAATGTAATATTCCATAGAAGATGAAGCCTTTTCGAGAAATTAATCATTTAGGAAAACTGCGTGCGTTATTTACTGGAACAGCAATTAGTATTATATCTTTCACAGGAATGCATGATAAACGACGGGACATTAACTATAGGTGTAAGTCATAACAAAGGACAGAATGGCGAAATTAAACAGAAATTTTCGACAAAAAATGAAAGCATAGCACACTATAATTATTGTCAAAAGAAGGAGAGATTTTTGTGTTACGGCCCCTTCACACGAAAGGAGCATGCAAAAGTTTCTGCATTCAAATCAAATACTATTGATATAAAATATACAAAATCTAATATTCTCGACCTACTGCACATAAACTGACATCCAATATGTGACATTCTAAAACAACCTAAGCTAGCCAATCTCAAGAAATTGAATTAGAACTATTTTTTAACAACACTTTGTATTGATGAAAGGTACAAGTTGAAGATACACGATTTTTTATGGAGCACACTTTCAAACAAAGAGCTACCCTGCTATGGGTTGATGAGGGTTTCTCATTGCTCTAAGGGTAAAGAGGGCAATTTATAAAAATCTGTGTCGTTTTGGTTTCAGTCAAATATTTTAAATTACACCTGAATTTGGCCGTGCACGAAAGTCCTCGGGGATTTGGAAAATGTCATTTTAGCAGAGGGTCCATACGGCCAGGGTAGCTCATTTTAAACATGCAAAGGTTTAAAGAAGTAAATATTTTCGAATAAATTAGTCGTTATAATTGTAAAATAAATAAATAAATAAATATAATTATGATACAATAGCATAAAAAACGAGAGGCGTATACATATGTACAAAGTATAGCAATAAACATACAATGGAAGAAGAAAACAAGATGTGTTTGTGAAACACTGATACCCCCGTATGGCAACATAGCGAAGATTAAGCTTTCTCAAATGCAGATCAAATGTGTTGATACTTAAAGTAAGGCCCTTTCACAAGAAATAAAAATGTGAAATATAAAACCCTACCACCACCTGTTCAAAGGCTATTACCAAGGTTAACGTTTTTAAATGTAGGACAAACTCCAGGGTCAAGGTTGTTGGTTTCTAAAGAAAGCCCTTGTCTCAAAGATTACATATGGGAAGTATGAAAGCACTGACCCTTACCGTTCAAAAGTTATGGCCAAGGTTAAAGTTTGTAAAAAGTAAGTCAAACTCCAAGGTCAAGTCAAAGGGTCAAGGTTGTTGGTATCTAAAGAAAGGCCTTGTCTCAAGGATTACATATGGGAAGTATGAAAGCGCTGGTCCTTACCGTTCAAAAGTTATGGCCAAGGTTAAAGTTTGTAAAAAGTAGGTCAAATTGCAAGGTCAAAGTCAAAGGGTCAAAGTTGTTGACATTCAATGAAAGGTCTTCTCACAAGCATTACATATGTGAAGAATGAAAGCCCTAGCCGTTACTGTTCAAAAGTTATGGTCAAGGTTAAAGTTTTTTCCTAAGTACGGAAAACTCCAAGGCCGAGGTCAAAAGGTAGAAATTGTTGGTTTCAAATGAAAGGTCTTGCCACAAAGAATTGATATTTGAAATATGAAATTCCTAGTATCTACTGTTTAAATATTACGACCAAAGTAAAGGTTTGGATTTTTTGTGTTAAAATGGGTCAAACTACAAGGTCAAGGTCAAAGACTCAAGGTTCTTGATATCAAATGAAAGGTCTTGTCACAAGGATTAAATATGTGAAATATGAAAGCCCTAGTTCTAACCCTTCAAAAATTATGTTGAAGGTTGTATTTGAAAAGCAGGTCAAACTCCAAGGTCAAGGTCAAAGGGTCACAGTTCTTGGTATCCAATGAAATGTCTTTTCACAAGAATTAAATATGTGAAGTATGAAACTCCTAGCCCTTACAGTTCAAAAGCTATGGCCAAGGTTAAAGTTTTTTCATAAGTATCCAAAATATCCAAGGTCAAGGTCAAAAGGTCAAGTTGTTTGCACTCAATGAAAGGTCTTCCCATAAAAAATACATATATGAAGTATAAAAGTCCTGGTATCTACTGTTCAAAAGATATAGCCAAAGTAAAAATTTGAATTTTTGTGTAAAAGTGGGTCAATCTCCAAGGTCAAGGTCAAAAAGCCAAATTTGGTGGTACCAAAAGAAAGGTCTTTTCACAAGGAATACACATGTGAACTATGAAAGTCATAGCTCCAATAAATCAAAAGTTAAGGGCAAGGTTAAAGTTTTTGCGGACAAACAGACAGACAGGCAAAGAGACAGATAGACAGACAGACAGACAGATGGACGGACACGACAAAATTATACACCCTCGAAACTTGGTTTACGGGGATATAAAAAATGGTCTGATCAAATTTCAGTTATGGAGGACAGACGGTGTCGTTTATGTTAGATATCAATATACAAAGTTTTTTTAAAAGATTTTAAATTTTAAATAATTTTAGAAAACTTGAGAGTATTTGGCGTTCTACAAAATCTAGGATGTAAAAGATTCTTTCTGATGCTGTTCAATGTTTAACATTCTAAAATGAAATGAAATTCGTCATGCTATTTGCCCTGTATTTCACAATGTACAAACTGTTTCACCCAATGGAATATTTGACCATCTACCAGTTTCAACTGGGAGGTGATGGTTTGAAGTTCTAAATTTTATATAAATTATTTTTTGGAGTTTACTGAGTAAAATACATGTACTTAAAATTTTTTATAAATTTGACCTTTTGATGAATTATTTATATCACTATGCCATTTTTGAATAAATTGGTCATTTATTCTTTGCTTCAAATTGTGGTATAATCACACAGACACAATTGTCTTTCATTTACCTCCTGAGGGCAAACTTTCTCGTTTTCCCCTGACAAAAATTAGAATTCTTTATACAAAAGCTGTCCCTCTTTTTGGACAGTTTAATTGTTATATTCCATTGCTTTTGGTTTCTTATGTCTCGTTTCTTGTTTTACACATACCCAAATTTTCTTTGCTTATTACATAGCTGCAGAACTGTAGCTCTCCGAACAAATATTTTGACAGACCGGAGAGCTACAGTGCCGCCCATTGAAAAAACTGTATATCTATTGTGCACAAAAAATTGCGCTTGATTCTGCATTAATTCTTCCAAATTCTTTACTCAATAGCAAAAAAGCTATATTTCAAACAATTCCTTACTTCAGAGTTCTCTATCAAGTACTCTCGTAGTTTACATCTGCATGAAGCACATTAGACCGAATTATCTTGCAAACCAAACTGGCAGTATAAATTTTCGATGGTCTCAATATCAGGGCCAGGAGGGTTACTAACATCAATTGAAAGGAATGTTTTGTTGTAGAAGCAGTGAAAGAATATGTTAGGAACACACGGTTAGTAATATTTTGAGCTGACAGTTTAAAAAACATGGAGAAATAAATCGAGAAACAGCGCACTTTTTTGTGCGCAATAAATATACAGTTTTTTCAATGGGTGGTACTGTAGCTCTCCGGTGTGTGTCAATATACATGTATATATATATATATATATATATATATATATATATATATATATATATATATATATATATATATATATATATATATATATATATATATATATATATATATATATACATGTATATATATATTTTTTTTGGAGAGCTACAGTTCTGCAGCTACTTATTACACAGGTATTACACAGGTATCTGTGGACGGTAGACCCCCTCTTCTCCCTCCTCACTAACCGCGGGACTTGTTGGACTTTTTTATGCCCTCGTAAACGAAGTTTCGGGGGTATACAGTTTTTGTCGTGTCCGTCCGTCTGTCTGTCTGTCTAGCTGTCCGTCTGTCTGTCTCTCTGTTTGTCCGCAAATACTTTCACCTTGCCCATAACTTTTAATTTAATGGAGCTATGACTGTCATATTTAAAATTTGTATTCCTTGTGACAAGACCTTTCTTTGGGTACCATCAAATTTTACCTTTTGACCTTGACCTTGGAGTTCGATCCACTTTTACACAAAAATTTCAAACTTTTACTTTGGCCATATATTTTGAACAGTAGAACCAGGACATTTATACTTCACATATGTATTCTATGTGACAAGACCTTTCATTGGATACACCAACCTTGACCTTGACCTTGGAGATTTCCGTACCTATGAAAAAACTTTAACCTTGGCAATAACTTTTGAACGGTAAGGGCTAGAGCTTTCATACTTCACATATGTAATCCTTGTAAGAAGACCCCTCATTGGATACCAAGAACTTTGACCCTTTGACCTTGACCTTGGAATTTGACATACTTTAAAAACAAACCTTGACAATATCTTTTAAATATATGTATTCTTTGTGTCAAGACTTTTTATTGAATACCAATAACCTTGACCTTGAACTTAGAGATTTCCGGACTTATGAAAAAAAAAACATTAACCTTGGCAATAACTTTTTAACGGTTAGGGCTAGGGCTTCACATATTCACATATGTATTTATTGTGGTAAGACCTTTTATTGGATACCAATAACCTTGACCCTAGAGATTTCGGGACTTATGAAAAAAAACATTAACCCTGGCAATAATTTTTGAACGGTAAGGGCTATAGCTTTCATGGTTCACATATGTAATCTTTGTAACAAGACCTTTCATTGAATACCAATAACTCTGACCTTGATCTTGAATTTTACCTACTTTTAAAATCTTTTTAACCTTGGCCATAATTTTTTGACGGTTAGGGCTAGGGCTTCCATACTTCACATATGTCTTCATTTTGGCAAGACCTTTCATTGGATACCAATAACCTTGACCTTCTGACCTTGATCTTGAAGATTTCTGTACTTATAAAAAAAAACTTCAACCTGGCCATAACTCGGGAACAGATGGTGATAGGGCCTTCATATTTCACAATTGTATTTTAACTTAGGAGACCGTACTTTGGGTACCAAAATATAAAATTTGCATTTTAGAAAAGTTAAATCTTCACTATGTTGTCATACGGGGGCATCAGTGTTTCACAAACACATCTTGGTTTGAAAATGAGATTTATTTCATTTTTTTATCAAGTACACCATAGGAAATATCAAGAGGCCCTGGATCACAACACTCACCTGAGTTACTTTGGTCCAATGGTTTTCACCTGATCCCCTCCTTGTAATACTTTTACCCCCACTCTACCCCCAGAGGCCATTATTTGAATACCGGTTATATAGAATCTACACTTCCCTAGGAAACATGTTTCAGCTTTTATTGACCAGAGAATTTTTAGAAGATTTTCAAAGACTTTTCCTATAGACATTTGCATATTTCAATGTAAAATTTTGATTCCCTTTCGTGTCCCACCATACCCCAGGGGCCTTGATTCAATTTCGAATCTACACTACCCCGTGATGCTTTCACATAAATTTCAGTCTATCTTGTCCGGTGGTTTATCATCTTCGTTAGCCAAGAGTTTTCGTCCACTCCCCTCCCCATATTAAACCAAAGGGTTTATGGGGAGAAGAGTGGTCAAAAAACTCTTGGCCAGTGAAGATGATGATTCTTTGGAAGGTTTGTTCATGATCCTACCCTATTTTTGTCTTTTCCTGAGTACCCCCCTTTAATGCGGGTATGGTCCTTCATTTTAATAATTTAAACTCCCCTTTGCCCAAGGATGCTCTGTACTAACTTTGGTTAAAGGCCCTGTAGTTTATAAGAAGAAGAGGGACGGACAGAAAAACAAACGGACAGACAACATATGAACAGAAAAGCTTACTTGAGCATTCAGCTCAGGTGAGCTAAAAGAAAGCACACTAACAATATTAGAGAATGATATGCCACTCCATTTTGTTTACATTATATCCCTCCAGTCTTTCAGGGTTAAACAAGCAAATTCAAAGAATTGTGGTCCCTCACTTTCGGTGTTTTTGTGTGTGAAATGTCATTTTTTATGGAATATTGTGTCAAATATGAACGTTCTTTCATATATCATTCAGAAGTTTTCACCGAAGTTAACTTTAACAAAAGGTCATTCGTGAAGGTCAAGAAATCATAGCATGCTTGGAAATATTTTTTCACAGGAAATACACATGTCAAATATGAAAGCCCTATCTCTTCTCAATCAAAAGTTATAACAAAAAATTAACATTTTTGAAAATTAGGTCAAACTTCACTAGATAAAAAATCATATTTTTTTCATTTAGAAAGGTCTCATCACATGCAATACACAGCTTTAATATGAAAGTCCATGTCCTCTCATTCAAAAATTATGAGCAAGGTCAAAGATTTTGAAAAGAAGGTCAAACTTCAAGGTCAAGGTCATGAGGTCAAAAAATCAAAGTGTATTTAAAAAGGTTTTGTCACAGGTAATATACAAGCTTAATATGAAAGCCCCATCTCTTCTCTTTCAAGTGTTATGGCCAATTCAAAGTAATCTTTAATTTTTTAAAAAGTAGGTCAAACTTCAAGGTCAAAGTCACAGGGCAAAAAAATGTTTTTACATTATCTCTACACAATATCATGGTCCAAGGAAAGGTAAAGGTAAAAAAAAATGTTGAAGCATTTGAATAGCTCTCATCAGTCTGAATCAAGATGGAACATGAAAAAGATGAATGCAAAGTGAAGAAGATGAACATGACAAACACTCTGCCCAGGCCATATTCATGGCAGGGCATAAAAAAACTTCACCTAATTCAATAGGCCTTAGCACTTACATCTAATGTGGACAATGTCAGTTACAGTGGTTTTCCATGAAAGTGTTCGTTACTTATTTCAGTTGGTTAGTCTGCAATTCTGTACTTGTGTGACACTTTCATTTCTGTGCGGTATCTCGAGAACTTTTGCAATGAAATTTTACAAAATAACTCCCAATGGCATAAGGAAAACCCCTATTGGTTTTGAGGTCAAAGGTCATAAATTTAAATATTCTTCCGTTTAAAACGTTAGTTTCCGTGGAATATCTCAAGAAGACTTTAAACTTTTGCAGTAAAATTTTGTACAACTCCCTTTGGCCTACAGAATACCCCTAATATTGAGGTCAAAAGGTCAAAGGTAAAGGTAGTATATCCATCCATCCCGAGTGTGTCTTAATCTTTCATACCTCAAGAAGCTTTTGAGTTTTTACAAATAAATTTTATACCATCTCCCAATGGCCCGTCCGCCTTTCTTAAATTCCTAAAGTGCCCCCTCCCCCATCCTTGCATGCTCTTCTTTTATTCAATAAGCTGGGGACACAACTTCATCAGATAAAGCTGCTCAAACAGTAAGGGGAAGGGGGATACTGAACACTTCTGAATCAACAAACAAATTATACACAAGGCGTAATGTTTCAAAGATTTCATTGTTTAATAACAGCACAATATTTTTTTTTCTCACAAATGTAACAAACACTCTCTCCAGTATTTCACAAAATGGGAATAATCACAGTCTGTTTAGCTCTGTGACGAGAGCACAAACCTGGAGAATACATTGGCAGGTTTTAGTAATGCATGATAATTAATATAAATGCACAGTGACAACTTAACAATATACCTCACGACTCACAATAACACACTGAGACTCAACATAATAAACCTAATGAACGTTAGATTGTAATTGCTCAAGATTGCAACGCTTTTCATTACAAATAAGGCACTTATTACTCCAATTAACTGTGAATTATCCAATAAAAATCATTTCAAATTTGTGAAAAATCTTGTGCAGATTAAAAATACATTTTTGATACAATAAACATTATGCAATCAGCATACAAAATTTTTGTTAACTCAAATCTGTAATCTAAATACATTTGCAGCATTTCAAAAGATTGAATATTTTTTTTTAACTGTATAAATGGCAATTCTGTACAATCATTAACAAACAAATTAACAGTCACACCAAACTCTTAAAAAAAGATACATGTACATACTAAATTGACCAAAAAAAGTTTCACAAAATCCAACAACTGCATCCACATGTTTTGAAAGAATTGAACATATCTATACATATAAAATTAATATTGATGGCAACAGTGTTTCCCTATACAACATTCGCATCAGTATCTTCAAACTCATCTTCTACATTTCATAACCACACATTCCCTGGTTCACATATAAAATAGCGCTCTATGTACACTTGATGACACCATTGCATAGAAGTCAATGACTAGAGTAGATGAAACATGGAATTTACAGGGTCAATAGCCCAAATCTACTGTACATTCCTATTTTTGTATATGAGCAAACCAATGGTAGAAATTGCACTGAGATATAAATAGAAATCACCTGATCAGTCTATAAATAGCACAAAAACGGAATGTTGTAGAATGGAATCAGTTGTTGGAGAAGAAGAATATTAAATATCCTTCACACAATTTGCCTCTTTGGAAAAAAAGAAATCAAATACAAGATCATCAGCCAAGTTTCTATCATTTATAATACACATAATTATGATAAAACTTAAAAATACATGCATCAATATTATAAATTTGAATTTTTCCCTTGTCAAAAAATCTGACACTAATTTTATTTTCTGTGATCATTTCTGAGTGAATAGCAGACAAAAGGTATTTTTTTATTGGAACTACATTGTACATTTGAAATTTGGAATCTGAATAGCAGACAAAAGGTATTTTTTTATTGGAACTACATTGTACATTTGAAATTTGGAATCTCAAACTTTGACATCACATGAAACATCATGGATAAGTCAGAGTGAATATGGATATCAACAACTACTTCTTATTGTGTTTTAATTTAAATAACTCAAAACCTCAGCTATCTTAAAGTTCTTAATTTTCCATGTAGCTTGACATAACAAGGTTTTATTGTATTTTAATTCTTTATCAAGAGGGTCAAACTGCTGAAGAACAGCACGCATGAAGACTAGTATTGTCCTGGATTTAACTGGATGTGCCAGACCTCAACACAAAGTGATTTGACAAACTGAAAGACATAGGGCTTGGTACAGACAGAAACTCTAATCCCTTTATTTGGTTTTATCTACAGCTACTTCGATGCAATGAAACTATCATAAAAAGAAATTCCTTACACATTTCTTGCAGAAATTTTCAAGTCTTGAATTGGAACAGCAACTTGTTAGATTTTCAGACAATCTAAATTTTCAACGGCACAAACATAAAGAGAAAACCTAAAATACAGAAAGCTGCGAAAGGTTTCTAATGTACCACGAAGTGGAGCATCTCTTATGATCTGAAAATTTTTCCAAGAATCCCATTTCTTGAGAAATATTCTAACAATGTCTTTCATTATTTGACCCAAATGCAGGAAGAATCTTTCACTATCCACTAAGCATGCCGTTTTGAGTATGAGACTAAACATGGACCACAGTGTACATTACAAATGAATATGTTGGACAACATTTTCAAAACTGATCACAAATGTTCAACTCCACATTGACCCAAACTCTTTCTGAAATCACCGAACATCTTTGTAGTAAGTATGATACTGAAATATCTAACTATACCATTTTGTATTGCATCCTAATCTATAGCACGGACTCAGGAAGCACATACAGACAGCATAATGAACAAAGAACAAAGGATGGGATAGAAACTCAACACAATCACAGTCTCATAAATTGTTACAGTCCTCGCAACTTTGTTGCAAGGGGATTAAAATTTTAAATCTGCAGAAAAAAAATCTCACAATTTCTCATCATAGCTTTTTGTACATTGTTAAAGTGTTAAGTGTTTTTATTCTGCGAGTACATTTTGAAGCAGATCTACCATTAACAGTGACAATGCTACAGAACACAGAGTGAGCCCCAGTAGGACGTCAGCACCAATAAGTTTAGAACCTTTAGAACAGCAACGGCATACTGAGGTGTTCATCATCATCCACAGGCTGGGGATGTTTTTCAGTAAAACTTTTGTCACAACCCTCAGACAGAATTGAGGTCAAGGCTTTTACACAGTTTCCTGGTATCAAACTACCTGTAAGTGTAACAAACAAAGAAACTGATAATGAAGAACGAAGTATGGGACAGAAACTAAACTAAAGGTTCAGTGAACAAAAATTACAAACATATTCTGTTGAATATGCTTAGGGCTATTCCAGAAAAAAATGTATGGGAGGGCACTTCATATATTTTTGTATGGGTAATGGGGACTGGAGCAATTAAATTTGCATGGGTGGTTGTCCTCATCCGATATATTTTTAGATGGGTGGTTGCACTTACCCTCACAAAAAATCAACTACAAAGAACTTCCTTCCTTTCATTTTGTATAAGCCAGTAAATATTTATATTTATTTTAAAAAAAAAACGTCCTAAACAGTTGAGAAGTGTGTTTACATTGAAAGTAAAAGTAGAATCGAACAAAGCGGAAACAAGGGCAGATAATTATAAAAGCACATGGTGCAATGACAGTGGAGGATTGGGACACGGTTTCTTTGTGTTCCTGTGTTCTTTGTTGCTTCCAGCTCAAGTTTCATTCCAGCAATTTATTCAAACGTGATTACATCGGTAAATTAAATGATATTAGAAACAATCAGAGATCGTTTGATTAAAACCGAAAGTAGAAAAAAAAGGTATCTGATAATAAACATTTTAGAGCATGACTATGGAGTTTGCAAGTCAAATATTTACTTTATACCAAATACGGTGTAAAATAATGTTTATATATAACAGGGTTTGTAACAATATACATGTATTATGTCAGTACATACCACTCCTTAACCTGTTGAGTGTTACCTCGAATATATTTTTAACCCAGCCATAACATATGAATTTTAAAAAATATATTTCAGAAACAAGTGCCTGTATTGTTAGGTTGGATTGAGATTCTGTATTTTTCTTTCATGTCCCACTAAATAGACAATGTATTACATAACTTTAGTGCCCCCCCCCCCCCCCCCCCCCCCCCCCCCCCCCCCGAAAAAAAGAAACCTATAGGCTTTAGCAGGAACTCTGTGGTTGTGTTACAAAAGACCTTTGGACTTGAACTAAAAAAAATTAGCTGATTGTAAAATCTTACAAAACTTTTGTTTTTGTTAAAATTTGCAAAAAATATCTTTCTAAATTCTTTTCAAAAAAGATAAAACTATTTTCAAAGTAATGAAGAAATGAAAGTTTTGTGCATAATATTTAGATTTGCATCATATTTATTTTTTTTTCTTTTTAAATGAGTCCATTGTTTGGATACATCCCAAAAGCGAACACTCATTTCAAGTTGCATAAAGTGCAAATGCTTGAAAAAGTACCAGTACATAAAATTTTATTATACATAACTTAAAACACAATGCTTTAAAAAAAGTATTTTAAATTTAGATGGGTGGTTGTATTAAAAGCATTTTTGATTTGATGGGCGGTGGGGGAGAAAGCAATTAAAAATGTATGGGTGGTGGGGTAAAAATAAAAGTGCCTTCCAATCCCCATACATTTTTTTCTGGAATAGCCCTTAGATATTATCTTAGTTTGTGCCAATTGTTTGTTGATAGTATTAAAGATAAAGGAATTTTTCTAAATTTACAAAGTATCAAGGTTGCAATTTGTGAACTTAACCTAGCTGAACGAATGTTGTTGAATGCAAATAATGAAAATAAACAAGAGGCCCATGGGCCTTATAGGTCACCTGAGCATTATGCAACAACCTTCCAGTGATTGAATTTGATTCATGTTTTAAGCCAGATGCTATGGCATTCACAATTTTGAAAGAGGCACCATTGATTATCATAACAATACACTTAGCAGTTGCTTAGTTTGTTTACTTAATACCCATACGCAGGGTAAGGGAACACAAAAGGCATTTCAACTAATCAGTAATATTCAGCAATAATCAGTAGTGCCCCTACCATACATGAACCCCTGACCCTTAGGCCTTGATATTTGATTAATACCAAGGAGCATATTTCGAACCATTCATTCATTTTCAGTATATAAGTACAACACCCCCCCCCCCTCTATGGTACCCTTGACCCTGGGGCCTTGAAATTCACAATTGTGGAAGACATGGGCCCTTGTCCATCATAGCTATATTGGTAGTTCATCTGCTTAATACCCTGGAGCAGAGAAAAAAATTTTCAAAGATTTAATGTATTTTCACTATATAATCAATAGACCCCGCCCTAACACCAGAACCCCTGACCCTGGGGCCATAAAATTTATTATTTTGGTAGAGGCACTCTTGCTAATCATAACTATGCACTTAGTTAGTTTATTTAATACCCGGGAGCAGAAAAGATGATTTTCAAAGAATTCATGTATTTTCACTAAATAATCAATAGAGCCCCACCCTAACACCAGAACCCCTGACCCTGGGGCCATAAAATTCACAATTTTGGTAGAGGCACTCTTGCTCATCATAACTATGTACTTAGTTAGTTTATTTAATACCCAGGAGCAGAGAAGAAGATTTTCAAAGAATTCATGTATTTTCACTATATAATCAATAGAGCTCCGCCCTAACACCAGAACCCCTGACCCTGGGGCCATAAAATTCAAAATTTTGGTAGAGGCACCCTTGCTCATCATAACTATGTTTTTAATTAGTTTATTTAATACCCAGGAGCAGAGAAGAAGGTTTTCAAAGAATTCATGTACTTTCACTATATAATCAATAGAGCCCCGCCCTAACACCAGAACCCCTGACCCTGGGGCCATAAAATTCACAATTTTGGTAGAGGCACTCTTGCTCATGTTAACTATATACTTAGTTGGTTTATTTAATACCCAGGAGCAGAGAAGAAGATTTTCAAAGAAATAATGCATTTTCACTACCTACTTATTTAGCCCCGCCCTAGCATTAGAACCCCTGACCCCAGGGCCATGAATTTCACAATTTTAGTAGAGGACTCATTGCTGATTACAGTCATGCAAACAGTTTGACTGCTTGATGTCCAGGAGTAAAGAAGAAGATTTTTAAAGATTGCACTAATTTTAGTGGTTTTTGCCCCACCCCACAGGCCCCAGGGGGGCAGGGATCATGAAATTCACAATTTTTGTTCCCCTTCACCCATAGATGCTTTATGCCAAATTTGGTTGAAATTGGTTCAGTGGTTGCAGAGAAGAAGCTGAAAATGTTCAAATGTTAACGCACAACGCACGACGCACGACGACGGACGAAAACAGATAGCAATAGGTCACCTGAGTTTATTCAGGTGACCTAAAAAAGAAAATTATGGGCCAGCAAAATTATTGATTTTTTTTGTATCACATATTTGCAAAGATTGAAAGCCTTCATAAGATCACTTGCCTACTATCCTCTGACCACAATCTGTTTTGAGACGAATAATTTGCATTTTAGAAGCGGATCCACCAGGCATTGCTGCTAGAACACTCTCCACCTTACTCCACACACTCAAGACTGATCCACTCAGGATGTGGAATGTACGAGTTCTTAATCCAATCTCACATGGCAGCCCTAGGCTTGCCTTCTTACAACTCCCCCTCCTAAAAATAACAATTGTTAAAGTTACCATTTTAGTTGTTAGGAGTTTGTCCTATTTCACTGGTTCAAATGGGGTTAAGACCATTGTATATGATTTTTTTTTGTTAATTTATACCCCTTAAATATGCTTTCTAATTTCTTTTCTGCCAATGGCCTTTAAGAGCAAGCTTTACACAATGAATCACTGTGACAACCTGCAGTATGGGATCAAAAAGTCATGTGGTTTACAGAAGATTTCATTCTTAGCAAAGCATTCTGTTTTTGGCTTTGATTGACTTGATTTTTTTTTTTTTGGGGGGGGGGGGGGTGGGCCTGTAAGATTAGAATTTATATTTACCAGTAAGCATGACTACAGACTTTAGCAGACAGGTTATACTGATCTTCCCACCACGGCTGAGCTATGTCAGGCAATACCTACAATACAAGCATTCACTTAAATAAAATAAATCTTCCAACACTTTTAATAAATTGATACCCATAATTTCAAGCATTTTCTGGTTTCTGGGATAATTCTGAATGTTTCAGAATGAAATTGAAATCTGATGCAATATCAATTTAGGCAGAACATAAATTTAAAACCAACCTAATGATAATACTAGCAAAATAGATCAGATTACATACCTTTTTATATTTGCGTTTGATGTTGGATAGGGGTTCTGGGTGGAGTTGTCTTCCAGTGTTAGGTCTGTAGACATTATATAATTTTTCCCTCTTCTTGTTTGTCCCAAAGAACACGGCTAGAATCACAGTTTTCTTCACATTTCTCTCCTACAAGTCCAAATTTGATCATTAAAGAATTATACCTATTGAAGCAATCCTTGAGCAAGGCATATTTGTATAAATCCGCATTTAATTTTCATTATTTCTGAAGTAATTAATGTGGCATGGATATTGTTTTTAACCTAAAACTTAAAATAAGTCAAGAAATTTTTGTTGTTGCAAACAAACTTTGTGTCAAATATAAGGCCATATAAAATTGAAATCTTGTTTCTCAGGCCCGCGCGCATCCGTTTTGAGGTAGCCGCATTGCCGATTTTATTGTATTTTTGATAAAATAAAAAGTTGGTATTGCGGAGACCAATCCGGGAAAAAAAATTCCGACCTCATTTGTTTCGTAGTTTAGTATTCAAATATCACTTCCAGTAGCAATTTACAATGAGATTTTGGCTACTTCGTTTGAAAATACATTCGAGGACATTACCTACGATGTTTACACGCTGTTAAGCAATGGATAAAGCAGAAATTTTGACCAGAAATTATATCTGTGATTAAAAAAATTATCTTTATGTTAAAGAAAATTCGGAAATTAAAATAAAAAAAATACCTCCCTCATCTACTTTATTGCCAATAAAATGAAAAATAAAATGCCGCCCTCCCGCATCTGTTTTGGAGAAAATTGGCCCGAGAACCAGGGAATTAAATTTAGATAGCCTAACTTATGAAAGATGCATAATAAGGTAATGACTATGATACAACATTTAACCTATTAAATCTTTGAATTTGAGCCTAATCTAATGAACTTAGCTCAAAATCAAGACATAACTTTATATCATATGCAATCTTTGGATCAAATATGAGTTTCTACAAATCCTCATCGATACAAATTGATGGTACTGTTGGTAAACCTACTTACATTGTCATTAAGACTTAAAAAGATACAAGGAATATCAACTTACCATAGAAGATATGTAGAAACCATCATCGATTCCAGTGTATTTTCTCCATATGTCATTAGCTTGTGAGAAGGACATTCCTCTCTCCACAGAGACCTGTATTGATATAGCTTATTATTAATTATAATGAAACTACCACCAATGGAAAGGTATTACAATCATTTGTACCATATTTAGTTCATTTTTATTCATGATTTTAAATTCTGATCCTTAAATATTATGAAGGTCAGACATTTTATAATTAATTACAATGATCACTTAAAGTAATTTACAACTATCATTTGTTCACATCTTTAGATAATTTTCCTCCTAGATTTTGAATTCTACTCCATTTTTATTTGACAAAATTCAACAAGTAAATAGATCTTCATAAGTAACTATTAACACCCTTACCGTGGTGAGCTCTGTTTTAGCTGTGTTTGCTGCAGCACTGCCCACAAAGGTTTTAGTCTCAATCTTCTTCACACTCTCACCACCAGAACCAAGATCTGAAGGACATTTATATTTTAAGTTGTAGGCCAGCAGTTAAAATTTTCCTTTCTATAAAATTTGAATTCAATTGCATGACTCAGTGAACCAGTCTATAAAAAATTACCCAGAATTCCCATGTCCCATCGTCCACTTCTCTTCGCATCCAAGATAATGGCGGTCAGTGTGTCAGAGAAATACTTAAACAGAGCATTCTGAAGGGCAACTTCCATTCCCAAGATTCTGTTGAGGAACTTACTGATGTTGTTGTAATCTGTAATACAAATATATATTCAATTCATTAACATTTTCATTGCATTTACAATATTTATTTTTTGTACAATGCATATTGTTGATTTTGGTAATAATGGAGTAAAACAATTTTTAATTAGTAACATTATCACCACATACCCTTTTCCAGTATACGATCATCAAGACTGATCAAACCAACACCAGCCAATCCCTTCCTCACATCTGAAACACAAATCATTTAGGGTTCTCATTCAGATGCTTTATAAGTAAAACATTCTTGTCTTCAAGAAACCATGTCTGATTAGTTTCATATGCAACTTATTAAAGCAATACAATTTTGGAAAAAATGTTTTCTGTGAAATATTTTAAAGTCAAACTTTTACCTTCCATGAAGTCTCCCTCATAGGAAGAAGGTATGGGTACAAGTGGAGCATCAAATCCCAAAACCGACTTCATCACTGCCTCCAGTGCTGTTCTGCCATACTGAAAATAGCAACAGGTTCATGACTTACACAATTCAGATTTGTTGTTTGTCAATTTCAATGCTTTAATATGGTATCTTACTTAAAGACCATGTTAGCTTGAGTCAACTTATAAGAGTCTAATCATCTGGAATCATTGTGAAGATAAACACTTATTCATAAACTTGCAACTCGTATACTGTCCAGCCTTACCTTGTTATCAAAGTTAAATCTGCTCAGGTCTCGGGACTCTGTAGCACGTCTATCACCATGTGTTAGGGCTCCCTACAATAATCCAATTGTTATTATTGCCAAGTCAAATAATTAGTTAAGTCAAATAAATATGATAGAGTATCAATGGAAAAAGTTGAATTGCATAAAAACTTTTATAAAACTTTGAAATATTTGAAAGACAATTTCTTCAATTTTCTTTTTCAAAACTAGTCAGATCTTTAATTATCATTTTTATAAAGCCTTTTTTTCAAGAAAAAAAATTTCTCATTAAGCACAATTTTTTTTCTTTTCAAAAACCTCAAAAACAATCTCTTACCAAACTCTCTAGCCTTTTAGACACAGTGGAAGCAAATCTTTGTTCTCCAGCCAACTCCGATATTAGGAACATATACTCAGGAGCATTCACTTGATTTGATCTGTGTGTGCGACCTGAAAAAAAAAAATTACTGTCTTTACATGACATCTCTTGAAGGTCTGCAAAGGAAGACAATGAATGTGTTCAACATGTACTATGTATTTTAAACCAAATTTTCATTCAAGATTTATCAACAAAATCAGGAAAATCTTTGAAACTACAACTATTCTTTTACAGCTTTTTATACTCATCCATCCTTAAAGTTAAGTTTGTTTGGCATTGTTGTCTGGGGAGTTTTGGGCCCAGGAGGAAGGGAAATTCCCTTTTTTTTTTTTTTCAAATCAAATTAAATTAAAAATTGTGGATAAAAACTTCATACAGTGAAACATTATTTTCTGTTTTTTAAAATGCATCTGTCATCAACCAAGAACCTTAGATCTGGTGCTAATTAAGTTTTTGTGATTTAATAAAAAAAAAATTGTGGTCCATAAAGATTTTTTTCAGGAGGGGTTATTTCAATGAGACAGAAGGCAATTCCAAACAAACAATAATTTTATTTTGGCCTCATTAAAAAAATTCGATGTCTGAAGTATGAGATAACAGGGATTCCTACCAAATTGCTGGATAGCTCTGTCTGCACTCCAAGGTAACTCCAGTGTAATATGGACTCTTCGCCTCTGATTTATTGCACGTCTGTCAGCTTGGAGGGAAATACCAGAACTGGCTGCTTCTGAGATAATGGCCACATTCTGTACAAATCCACAAAAAGATAACATTTTTAATACGATTCAAGAATCATTTATTATGAGTCAGTTCCTTCAACACAGTACTAGTAAGGCTTACTTATGGATGTAGAAATATATATCTATAAAGTTCACAATGCATTTTTGTCACCTTTTCTCCATCCATAAATCGTTGTTTCTCTGTGAGGTTTAGGATTTCCAGTGGTACATCCACTTCACTGCGTGACTCGTACGTGATGCCGTCGTCTGTGTTAACGACACGCCCCTTCCTCCCCGTCATTTCGGCCACGCTCTCTGTCCCTCCCAGTTCATCAATCAGGTGGTCTAACGTGTTGGGTGGAAGCTTCTCCCCGACTTCAGTTAACATGTCCAGTAACTCGTTCTTCATGGCCACTGCCTGCTCTACAGCATCCATGCCTGTCAAATATAAGTCATCTCAAAAATGTAAGTAATGTTGAGCATATTGAAAACCAGACATTAAGGAAGGGGGCCTCGGTACATTTTTATTGCAAAGTTATGCTAGTTTTAATGAGTTATTGTAGCAAAAAACTTTTAAATAAGCTTTTTAAGAAACATTTGGTTAGTTTACTGATACACATTTATGATACCCCCTCTTCAATTAAGGAAATATTTTCTTCTTATTACTTCTTTTTTTGCATGAAAAAACATTTTTCAATTCAACAGAGAATTTACTCACTATAGAGTGGTGCATCTCCATTTTCTGTTTCATTATTAGTATTGGAGTTATTGACAGTGTTGACATTCTCCTTGGCTATACTATTTTTCTTCAGTAGACCTGCAGCAGCTAATGCCTTGTCAAACTCTGTATCCACATCAATTCCTTTGGATTTCTTTTTCTTCTTTTTATTTACATCTTTTTTCTTTGTTTTCTTGCTGCTCTTTTTCAGCCAAGGATCTGCCAAATCAAAATTTTAAAGAATTTGAATATTTCTGTTCACAGAGCATGCAACAGAAAAATAACCATATTAAAAAAAAATTCTAATGTGAAGTATTGGATAACTATCGGCCCATACCTTCATCACTGTCAGAATCATTTCCAAATGGATTGAAGTCATCCACATCTGAATCACTGTCATCTGAATCTTCTTGGAAGTCAAACTCCAAGTCACTGATGTCTGAATCCGAATCGGAACTATCCGAGCTGCTGTCATCTGAATCCGATTTGTGTCTCTTTTGTTTCTTAGATTTGTTTGTCTTTTTTTGTTCTGTGTGTAAAATATATTTATCTGATACGTGTGGTTGAATATCACTAATAAATGAAGCAAAACTTTATACAAAATCTTATACTTCACTAAACAACAGTGAAGAATGAAAATGCTATTAAGGATGAAAAAATACACAAAAGAAACTTGTAAAATGTGCATTTTAATGTCATATGAGATCGTACCTTTCTTTCTTTTGTTGTTTTCATTTTTCTGCTGAACAGATTCCTGCTCTTTTTTCTTGCCATATATTTCTCCAAGACCAAATATATCCAGTGTCTTTCTCCTGTCAGGGGCAGGGAAATGCTTTTCTACCAAGGTCTGGAAAACTCCTCTGTAAGATAAAAGATGCACATCCATGAGTTCCAATGCTCACATGTAGACAAGAATTATCCCATGAGAAATGAAATAGCAACTGGTATTGGGTATCTACATATTCATTTTAATGAGTGAGATGCATTGCATGTAAGATTTATCAAAAAGATCAACTAACAGATTAAACAATTTGGAGGGTGTATATATCTTATAATTTTTGTTGTAGAAGATAGGTACTTACTTGGCTGTGGACACAAAGTCAGTGAGTTCTCCCCCTTGTTCCTCCAACTGTTCCAGGGTCCTGGCTTCTCCTGTGGACTGCAGTCCTATCACAACACACTGAAATGATACAAAGGAAAAAAATTAGCACAGAGAAACATAGATAATCAAAGATTACGAAGCTCACCTCGACGAATGTTATCAGTGTAAGTAACGCAAATCTCACATATTTTCTTAATGTCTAGTATTTATCCCAACAACATTCTTGCAAGTTGTGTTTAACGCCTTACATGGCATATACACATTTCTATGCATGTAGCGTGAAAAACATGTATAGTGTAAACAAATATTCATAAATTTGTTAATACTGCAGATATCAAGGACTTCAAGTTCAGATCCAGCATCCGAAGCAAGTCTGGTAGTGTCCATCCCTATGTGGATCATCCATGCAAGTTTGGTTCAGGTAGGTCTTATAGTTACTTGGGAATGAAATTGTAGGTCAGATTCAGCATCCGAAGCAAGTCTTGTAGTGTCCATCCCTAGATGCATCATCCATGCAAGTTTAGTTCGGGTAGGTCTTATAGTTACTTGGGAATGAAAATGTAGGTCAGATCCAGCATCCAAAGCAAGTCTTGTAGTGTCCATCCCTAGATGCATCATCCATGCAAGTTTGTTTTGGGTAGGTCTTATAGTTACTTGGGAATGAAAATGTAGGTCAGATCCAGCATCCGAAGCAAGTCTGGTAGTGTCCATCCGTAGATGCATCATCCATGCAAGTTTGGTTCGGGTAGGTCTTATAGTTACTTGGGAATGAAAATGTAGGTCAGATCCAGCATCCGAAGCAAGTCTGGTAGTGTCCATCCCTAGATGCATCATCCATGCAAGTTTGGCCTGGGTAGGGCTTATAATTCCTTGGGAATGGACCTGCTCCAAAAACTTTAACCTGGTCACTCACCTGGTCTGGTACTCATGCATCATCCATGCAAGTTTGATTCAGGTACGGCTTATAGTTACTTGGGAATGGACCTGCTCCAAAAACTTTAACCTGGTCACTCATCTGGAAAATGTAAGTCAGAACCAGCATCTGAAGCAAATATGGTAGTGTCCATCCCTAGATGCATCATCCATGCAAGTTTGGTCTGGGTAGAGCGTATAGTTACTTGGGAATGGACCTGCTCCAAAAACTTTAACCTGGTCACTCATCTAGAAAATGTAGGTCAGATCCAGCATCTGAAGCAAGTATGGTAGTGTTCATCCCTAGATGCATCATCCATGCAAGTTTGGTCTGGGTAGAGCTTATAGTTACTTGGGAATGGATTTGCTCCTAAAACTTTAACCTGGGACGCCGACGCCGGGGGTATAGCATAAGCTCATCTCGACTTCGTCGAGGTGAGCTAAAAATGCACTGAGCAGAATTTACAATTATCCTTTATAAACATTGCTAAACAAAACCCTCTCCATGAAATCATTAATTTCCTTATCATTTGCTCCAGTGTCATGCTTAATCCCATACCTTGCCAGTTTTGATTGCCTCGCGTGCTATCTCCACACAGTGGTTGACTTTGGCTGATATACATAGGTATTTAAAGAACCTCTGATGAGCCGACCAGAACTGTCCCCACATGCTCTTCTTCATCCTCTGTTCAGCGTCCATCAACTCGGCTGCCCTACTGAACCGTTCTCGTGCTGTCACCCACTGTAAATATACAAACAGCATAAGCTACTTGTAACCCTAATAACTAGGATGTCTATTTTTAATTTTTATAGTCATGGTTTTTTTTTTTTGAAGCAGGATTTAAAGTCATTTGTTCAATAAAATGATAATATCTACTAATTCTTAAGTTTTGATCTTTGAAATTAGTTACAATATGTATTCAGCTTTAAATAATGTTATTCCAAACATTTATTTAAAAGTTAACTTATAAAATACTGTAAATTTAGAAGAAAGATATTGTTTTTCTACCCTTTTCACACTTTTTCTTTTTCAATTAAAAATAAAAATTGAGTTATGTCATTGCCACAATGCTTTTTGAACACTATTGATTAATTTTCTTTGGCCCTATTTTTAATTTTTATAGTCATGGTGTTAAAGTCTGGCTCTATCAAGAAAATTGGATTTGAGCGAAAAAGGTTACAACATACTTTGTTGCTCCACCCTTTTCACACTTCTGAATTAAAAAAAAATAGTGGTCTGTGCCACAATGCTCACCTGAGTTACTTATGTCCTTATATTTTTTTCCCAATATATTTCCATGTAAAATCAAGATAATACATGTATATAACTTTGAGCCAAGTTTGATTGAAATTGGTCCAGTGGTTCTTGAGAAGAATATGAAAATGTGAAAAGTTTACAATGTTGACGACAGAGAACAGACAAATTACAACCAGAAAAGCTCATGTGAGCCTTTGGCTCAGGTGAGCTAAAACTGGAAGCAGACAATGTAACCATACCATTTTCACACTGTCATTGTAGATCTTAACAAAGTCCTTGGCAAGTGGGATTTCCTCTATCTTGAATGTGACACCTTTAAAGCTAAGCTGCCTGGCAATATACATCCCTCTCAGCTTCATATCCATGGCAACCAATTCCATAGCACCTACTCCCCTGAAAGATACAATTTTATACTTTTACAAGCTTTTATGAATACTCGGTAACATAAGCAAGTGACAACAAGAAATCTTTTTTCCAATCTTCATAATAGAGGAAGTCTGACAAAAAAACATTTCAAATTTCATACTACACAAGCAAAGTCTCCTGACTACTGAATTAGAAATACCATTCAACAATATTAACATACAGTCAAAACTGCCATAGCGACCCACTGTATTAAGCGACTCACTGTCACATGTGACCGTAAAAATCCCCCCCAACGCTTTTCCCTATCTATTCTACCTGTATTAAACAACCACCTGTCTAACGCGACCAACGACCACGATTTTCCTAACCATTTTTAGTAATTTCAAGCAATTTTACCTGAATTTAACGACTACATAATTTCCGATTCCTACTTTCGATTTCGGTCGAGCATGCTTCCTTTTTGGTTCAAAACAACTACAGACACGCTTTTATTTCATTTAATAATTATATAATGCTAGTTTTACAAATAAAACAACATTTAAAAATGAATATTTTTACTTACGCTTCAATATTTATTGAATAAACATTAAAATCTAAAACATAAACATCAAAAATTTTCTAAGCAATTTTGTGATCTTTGAGCGCCAACATAAAAAATTTAAAGTATTTCTTCTTCATGAAAATGTATATCATTTCATGCTAAAGGGCCAAATGGATATTCAGCTATAAAACCTGCCATTTTAACTTTAATTAATAAATGTAACTAAATCCTAGATGTTTTTTTAAGTGCATTGTGTCACCAATGGGTATGTAAACACACGCAAGTTAGCACCCACACCAGGTCATAAATTGGAAATTGAAATACCAGGTCAAAAACAGGCATTTTCAGACACAAAATGTAGTTCAGTAATGAAAAAAATAATCAGGTTAGATAAATATTTCAGTCATTAATATAATTTAATTTGATACCAAGTGCATACCAAAAATCATGATACAGTTTTTATTCTTAGTAATATGCAAAACAAACGAAGTTATATATAGGCTATGATAAAAAAAACCCAACAAACTATTATTAATGAAAAAAAAACTTTGCAGTTTTTTTTTTATACTGTATAAAAAATATAAATATTTTCAGATGTTCACAATATTTCCCAATATTCAAATGACTCATATGCGGATCAAAATTTTTTTTATTTCTTATCAGGACAATTGTAAAAGCATTTTAGAGTTAAGGAGTACCTGTTAAAAAGTGGAAATAAACAATGATATTTTTTAATGAAACCTACAAAAAACTTTTGTTCATACAAAATGTAGAAGTTTTTCATGTGTAAGCCTGGGTTTTTCCATCCTTATGTATCATTTTGTTAGTTATTGTCAACTACTAATTTAACATTCATTGGGTAAATCCATGTAGAAAAAATTGCACCTGTAATTTTGGTTAAAGTGTTGTAAATCTAATTGAATTTGTAAAAACAAGCATTGTTTGACACCTTAGATGTAAAGAAGTTTTTTAGAGAGATTATAGTTACTTGGAAATGAAACCTACACCAAAAATGTTAACCTGCTCCAAAAACATTAACCTGGTCATTCCTTTGCTAAAATTGCAGCAACTGAAACTTTGACTGGTACAATGAAACACACTAGAACCATCTTCCATGCATGTCTAATCAATATAGCATCAAATTTCATGACTAACATCAAAATTCCTTTGTTCTAACTTCAGCTTGATGTACATGCTTTGTGTTTTTTGTTATCCCACCCACCTTCCCCATACTGCACCTTTTGGAATATTATGTGTCAAAATGTTTTAAAATGTTTTAATTGTACATGTATATACCATTCGTTGGGTGAGCTAAAAATTTCTTGTATTCATGTTCAACTATTTATTGAATAAACATTAAAATCTAAAACATAAACATCACATTTTTCCCCCATTTCAGATAAATTTTTTCTGCATTATATAATTAATTATAGCTACGTTCGATGGTGTCAACCCGATATCATTTCATGCTATAAGGGCCAAATGGATATTCAGCTATAAAACCTGCTTGATTAACTTTAATTAACAAGTAACTAAATCCTAGATGTTTATTTAAGTGCATTGTGTCACCAATGGGTATGTAAACACACGCTAGCTAGCACCCACACCAGGTGATAATTGGGGTGATTGAAATACCAGGTCACAAACAGGCATAGACACGGTAGTTCAGTAATGAAAAAAATAATCAGGTTAGATAAATATTTCAGTCATAAATATAATTTAATTTGATACCAAGTGCATACCAAAAATCATGATAGTTTTTTATTTTTTCTAATATGTGAAGTTATATATAGGCTATGAGAAGGCCAAATTTATTGTGTAAAAAAAACTGAAATGTATGAAAAAAATAGAATATGTTTTGTTTTTCCCAATATTCATGTTTTGATTTGTGTTTAATAAATGTAAAAATTTTAATTGCTCTTAAAAATGTATAAATAAGGTGTTATAAAATACATTCAACATACACGTGTGATATTTTCAGCATTGTATATTTTAACACAGCGGAAAATAAGCAACCTGTATTAAGAGACCACCTGTCATATGTGACCTTTTTTCCGTTCTCCGTCGGAAGGTCTCTTAATACAGGTTTGACTGTACTTTCATTATGACAAAAATGTACCTTTTTTCCACTGCCTGAATGAAATCAGTGAACTCAGAAAAAGGTGTGCCTGGTCCCCATAATCCTAGCCTTGTCATGTAGGCCATGTTTTTGGGTTCGGAGGCACCAGTGGCACTAGCGTACACTATCCTGGCATTAGGAAGACGATTCTGTAACTCTAGGACGGTCTGACCTGTCTTTGTGGGCTTACTAGAACCCACAGGACACAGGTTCTTGGCTTTATGGCACTCATCAAATACAATCTAATCAACATTAAGGATAGTATTATAGCAAAAATCGCTTTGTACAAACACTGATACTGCAAATTTACGGATATAGCAAAGTTTTCTTGGATCTCGACTATATAAATTCTACGAATTCCTTATAGGGATATAAAGAATTACAGATATAGGAGAGAAATTTCACAGGTCCTTGTGACTTCGTTATAACAGTGTTTTACTTTAAATTGTGTACCTAAAGAGATGCTAGTTTCTAAATCCAACAATCTGATTTCTGGCAGAAAAAAAAAAATTGTGAATAGAATCCATCCCTGTACAGAGATTTAAAAAAAAGGATATAACTCCATCAAAGTCCTTCCCACACCACTTCAGAAGCTGTTTGAAGCGGGTCTTGTATTTCCCACTGGACTGACTTTCTCCAATCAGTGAGGAATAAGTGGCAAAAATCACCCCCTTCTTCACACTACCATTTTCCTTGGAGGATATCTTGGCATACTTGAACTGAAATTTTCATATTCATTGTCAGTCAAATAAATATCCTACTATTCTACAACTTGATGTTCGTCATTGTTAAACACAAATTTACCTTATTGAGGGCATGTACTTCAATTCTACCTGCACCAATATCTCGTAGATCTCTTTCTGCATCAACTTTTAAATCATTGGATACACTCAACCTAATGAGAGAGGACAAAGTCATTATAATGCAATATACAAATTTTAACAAGTTGTCATACAGACTTATTATCTACACTACTGACTTTCAAAATTCGAAGTTTCCTTCAGATAATTTAAGATGCATTTTTTTCTTCATCCACTTACCATAATGCACGTTTTCGTCCCAGCAAGTAGTTTTCATAAATAATTCCCGCCAGAGTTCTTCCTTTCCCCACTCCAGCACCATCCCCTGCAATGAGAGTATAAACAATGAAGCTCATTGGCCATTATGCGCACATAAAAAAACACTTAATTTCTCTTTCTGACATGTAAATACACTTTATCATTTTATGTAAGGACTCTTGTTGTAGTCTAAACCCAAGTAAATGACCAAATACACTGGTGATTTTAAACTTATAATCAGACAAAATATGCTTTTGTTGTTTTTAAAGAAGTCTCTATTTTAATCTCATGGGGATTAGCTTTGCAAAGAGCAGCATTCAATGCAAGTTTGACTGTGTATGCACCCTTTAATCATGTTAATACATCATCCTGCATATAAGATGGTTCAGATACAGATACATGTATTAGTTGAAATATGATCTTTTCTGTTGGTGGTGAACAATAGGGCTGTATCAATATATCGATATATCGATACGTATCGATATTTAAGAAAAATATCGTATCGGAAAGTAACTTCCAATACGTATCGGACAGACATCTCTCCTTCAAATTCTGTTTAAAAGATGGGAATTTCAATCACCAAGGATTATATTTTACTTTTTTGAATTAAATCCTTCAATAATTATATAAATTCTAAGGAAATAACACAGTTTTTATAAATTAAAATAAATTATAAAAATTTATATAATTATCTAAAGAGAAATTTATTTGAACATTTTGATTTTACTGTCATCAAAAGTTTTAATTTAAGTGTTATTTTTAAAGACAATGAGACAAGAACTTTAAAATGGGTAATAAAACACTTAATTGTTATGAAATGTATGCATTAAAATGATTTAGAAGCCTTTTCTGATGGACTTGTTTCAGAATCCAATATATCGCATATCGCTTTAAAAAATATTGTATCGTATCGTATCGAAATTTTTGGCTCAATACACAGCCCTAGTGAACAACTGATTAATAGGTGCTTAATATCTTATTGACATAAAAAAATAAAGCTTTATAATATTTACTTGCCAACCTTTCCATTAAGAGACAATACCTACCAATGAGGAAGCCTGCTCTCTCCTTACTGGGCATGATGATTTCGTGCCTCTGACAGGCGTAGGTAATAGCCTCCAGCTGTAGGGCTGACAACTCCCCATTATCTATGATGTTCTCTGGCAGAGAGAGGTTATACCAAATATTGCAAGGTTCAACACTGGCAAGAGAACTTGTTTCCACCACGGGATCAGGGTGTTTAATTCCTATGGACACTGAAAAGGAGTAAATAATTGTAAATTCAATATACTTCTATTTTCCAAAAAGCCTAAATTCCTACAACAATTGGTTCTCAAGGTCATTTGTGTGCTCCTGCATACATATATGGGTAATTTGCACACATGAATTTCTTTGGTTGGATATAATTTTATCCTTAGCCAATCAATCCTTTTAAAATATATCGAAGGCACACTTTGATACCATGAACATGAAAATAAAAGGAACAAGCTTTTCTCTTCTATGTCATTAAATCTTACATTTGACAGGCATGTAGTCATTGTACGTTTCTGCGTGTCCTAGTTCTTGAACCTCATCCTCAACTTCCTCTTCCTCCAATGCGGACACGCCACCTCCCAACATCTGCCGGGCAGTTTGCTGAAACCATATAGCAACCATAAGACATCTTCATTACATGGTCTTTCATTTTAGTTTACAAAATATAGGTATGAAGTGGGAATAGCAGGGCTGGGACGATACAACTTTTTCTATTTTGACATGTATCACAATATTTGAGTCACAATACAGTATGTACTGCAATATTTTGATCTGGTTAAAAATTCTTCATTTTGTACGGAAATGAACAAAGCATTTCTTCAAAAATATGAATAATTTATTTTCAACAGTTGTACAACTGTGTAAAACAAAATTCCAACGGTTAAGACTCTCTCTGCCTTAAAAATAAAACCTACCTGTTGTACAGAGGGACCCACTTTCTTTAGTTTAACATCCTCGTTAGACCACAACCTTGAAATGTCTTTGTGAGTCACATTTGCTTTGTAATTTGGAGGAATACTTCCATTAGGTCCATTGAGTAAGCGATGCTGCCCTGAATCAGGGAGAGCTGAAGTAGACATACTATGGTGTAAGGGTGGATTTCTTTGTATAGAGGGACACACTTGGGGAATGAACTGAATTGATGGCACTGGGGGAATAGGAACTATAGCTGGACACTGCCCATACTGGGAGAGTGGGGAAGGGGCAGTTCCCCTCCTCTTGGTCTCATATAATCTGAGCCGACAGAATATCACTTCTGGGCAACACAGAGGGTGAGGGTGTCACTCTCACACTCCCTAAGTTTGTAGGAATCGGGGAGTTTGTTTTCACACCTGATGACATAATCTGTTCACCTGTGCCAGTCGACTGGCTCATGACACTCCCCGTCATTTGATTGCCTGTTGTTGTAGTAATTATGATTTTCTTACCACTTGCTGCTGCAAGATTTGCCAAGTTAATTGTACAAGCACCTGTATTTGGATCCTTCTTGACCAGACTAGCCCAGTTTATGGACTCTGGTCCAGATTTTGGTGCATCACTCACAGGTACACCTGAGCCATTGGTCCTTCCAGACAGATCATTTAAATTAATTGTTGGCACTGAGGAGCTTGCACTTAGTCAGTTTATATAATACCGATCTTTTCACTGCTCCTCCATGTTGCTTTGTTAACAATCCCACTTACACACACACCAGAACCCTATTTCCCCTGGGGCCATAAAATTCACAATCTTGGTTGACTTTCAATAGTGCCTGGAACCTTGTATTTTCACTTTATAAACAATAAAGTCTATATAATTCATACCCAGAGACAGAGAAGGGGAGATTTTCAAAGATTTAATGTACAATGTATTTTCACTATATAATCAATAGAGCCCTAATACCAGAACCCCAGACCCTGGGGCAATGAAATTCCCCCCCACCAGGAGCAGAGAAGAAGATTGACCCTGGGGCCATAAAATTCACAATTTTGTCTCGTTATTTTGATGATTCTATTTAATACCCAGTGGAGTTTTCAAAGAAATTGGTTTTGAGATGTCTGTAGTTTGATCTGACTTTGGAGAGATAAAATTCACAATTTTTGGAGAGATGAAGCTGGGATGCGTATAATGGCTGGGCTGGATGCTGATACGATGCAATAAGGAAGAAATAATGCATTTTCACTATATACTTATTTAGCCCCGCCCTAGCACTAGAACCTGGGCCATGACTTTTGGATGCTGATTACAATCATGCAAATAGTTATGCTTGATGTCCAGGAGTAAAGAAGAAGATTTTTAAAAAATTTTTCACCCCTCAGGCCCCAGGGGGGCAGGGATCAAGGTTAAAATGCTTTTTACCAAATTTGGTTGAAATTGGTTCAGTGGTTGCAGAGAAGAAGCTAAAATGTTCAAATGTTAACACACGACACACGACACACAACACACGACACACGCCAACATACTTGAATATACCTGAGTTTACTCAGGTGACCTAAAAAAATAGTATCTGGCTTGAACTTAAACATGGTACAGTGTATAATTAAATAAAGTAACTGCTTGCAAGATCTTTGTTTGGACTGACAAAATTATGAACTCAATTTAAATACTGTAGACATACTTTTTTCCACGGGGTCATAATTCCGCAGAATCTCAATTTTCTGTTCAATCCGCGGGTAGAAAATTACGCGGATTTTCTAGATTGTCACAGAATGCCTTACATTTATATTAAGTATGATTGGACAAATTTCCATGGAAAATTTGTGACCGCGTACATAGCGTAAATTAATACCACCAGGAAAAACGTACTTCTACAGTATCTGATATTCTTTACAAAATTTTCATGACTCTTTGTGACAAAAACTTGAATCTTGAAATCACAAAAGACTCATGAAAATAAATATGTAAATATGACTTCAGAATAAACATGAAGATGAATTCGTAAATTACTACCTGGTTATTTGGAAAAGGGGCTCGTGGGTTGCCTGGTTGTGGAAATGGGTGACTGAATGCTGGGGAGCTGATGCCTCCAATCTGTTGTGGAATAGGAATTGTCTGTGGTATCCCTCCATTAAATACAGGATTGGATATCTATTTCAGAGATCACAAAAAATGTTCTAAGTTTGCCTGTCAATCTAAGAATTTTTTCTACATATCCTCATCATACCTGCCATTAGTGTTAAAATAAAAGGCATTTCAAGCTTTTTTAACCTGGGGTAATAAGCAGGAAGTTAACATTTGTTCTCATTATATTATTCCACTATGCTTTATTACACCAAAACAACAACAACAACAAAAAATGTAGAAAATGTCTGAAATTCAATAGTTGTCAGTAGTATAGAAATCTGTATTTTTAATGTTTCTCTCCTTCTTTTTTATACTTCTAGTTTATCAAATATTCAAAAATTTGTCCTTTAATTCTTATTTTTTTCAATGAAAAGAAAAGAGCCATGACTATTCTTTCAATAGATTAACATAATGATCAATATACATCTGATCAATACAGAAATTTCCAGAACTTTGTCATAGCTCTTGGTAATACTTAATGAATTTCAAAAACATCAAGACAGATGACTGCTTTCACGGTGCTCCACATTGCAAAAAGAATGCTCATATTTTCAACAAAAAAATTATTTGGCAACTAAAATTTAACTAGGTGAACAAGTGAATTTTGAAAAGTGAATGTGATTTTTGTGATCAGGGTCAAGATATCCTTTTTCTGTTTCCAAGATTCTCTATCATGACAATGTTTGAAAAATATTCTTAATGAACTTGGTAAAGATTTGCAAGGACCTAGATTATGTAATGTTATTGAAAGATTTTATTTTGAGAACAGCAAATCAAAATTATTTGATCATAGGACATACCAAAACAACATCGGGCAAATACAAGTATGACAGTCTAACTCATCTGACAATAATTCCAACATTCAATAATTTCTTAAATCTCATTAACAGAAAAGGGGAATTTTTACTTTTATAATGGCATTAAGTGACTAAAGTGAGTGTGTGGTATTTAAAATTTCAGTGGCATCACACTGTTTGACCAAGATGCAGATACATGTCTTTTAACAGTTTTCTTAGTTTCTGAAAAAATGAACAATCACTTAAAATATACATTTTAGTCTTACAGTATGTTATTGATAAAACTGAAAAGGCATGTAGATTGTAACTGGTTATTTAAGTTAGAATAATAACTGTGTCTTGGACCACCATCGTTCAAATACCACCCATAAATCCTTAATGTATGGGGAAAAATATATAAAGGTGTGTTAAATTAATCATATTCATAAGAACTTATCTGGTGATTGTGGATAACTTTTAACCAAAAATTTAAATCATATGAACATGATGAAGGGAGAATTCAAAACTTTTCTCAACTTTTTGCACTCCCTTAAAATTCACAAACCATGTTGACATTTAGAACTTTCTTGATAATTCATAGAAAACATACTGAATAAGAGTTATTGCCTGAGTCTGTTTTAGCTACATTGCGAATACGTGGAACACATTCTGTTACAGAAGGCCAGGTGTAGGACACTGTCATTTTCACGATTAAAAACCTTTATCTAGTTATACATACAAGTGGTTGAGATTGTCCTGGATACACTGTGTGGTGAGAAAATGTGCTTGTTTCATCAAATTCATCTTCAAAATCTCCTGTGATGCCTGACTCATCTAATGCAGCTGATAATATGTCTGTGAAATCGTTCTGAAAAAAAAACAATACATGTAAAACTGTTTCATTCATCATTAATATTCCATTCTTCTTTAAGTTCATCTTTTTTTTTCAAATGCTATCCTTTATCTCAATTATGACGCAGAAAATGAGCATTACCATGATTACTATTGTTGGATATTACTTTTCTTTGACTATTTAAACAGCCAATGTCATGTACTTTTACTTTCATGAAAATATTTACAGTAAACATGTTTAGTTAAGGAGTGGGCAAGGGAAATCCTCTACCCCTTCACCTTTCGTCTCCCTTCCTTTCCCTCCCTCTCTCCAACTTTCTCTTTACCTGTCCCTTCTTACTTATGATCATAAACGAGGAAGGTTGACCGGTGAGAAAAATTAAAAATAATTTTCTAGCTTTTATTGTGGACATATTGTGATTAAATCTCTGAATAACCCACAGTAAATTAATGGATTTTGACATAAAATTTACTTAAAAGGAAATTCTCCTCTTACATTCGATTCATTTGCCATCACTAGCAAGAGAAGTTCGCAGACCGTTTCAACGCATTTTCGCAATCCACCATCATATAAATTTCCCAGAATTCCCTCTCTGACGTGTGCGTTGTAATCGTAACTTCTCGGGTATTTTCACGATATCGTGAAAAAGAATGAGATATTCCGACAGGTGCGATATAGAATCAAAGTACGGGATGTACTCCCTGTAGTAACAAACACGACAGTAGAAGTGGTTTTTTGGTTAATAAAGTGGTTTTTTGGTTAATTTTTATCAAGATTCATTTTCCTTTTTTCAACAGTTATTTCATAACATGCTAGTAGTTTCCGATCCGAAATATAAGTCAATATAAGTCAAATTTCTCAGATTCCTTCATTATTTAACTATCAGGAGACGCATACTCTTTATCAATTGTTTATTCCCGCTTGGCAAATAAACCCATCTTATTCAATATAACCTGCATTTTGGTCACTAAAACTTTTTTGAATACAAAGAATAGGAATTTTATTTATTACATTAAAACCAGCTTCATTAAATGAATTGCTTTTTTACAACGCTTTTAATAAAGGGGGAGGGTGAAATTTTTATCCAATGAAATCAGACTTTTAAACATTGTTAAACATCGTTTAGTTTTCACATATGCAAAGGAATGGACGTATGAACCTCAAATCTTTCCATATGTTTCTTATGCAAAATTAAATGCATAATATTGATATTTAGTATATCTAAATAATTAATTTACTATCGAAATCTACTCTACAACAGTTGTAGAGTAGATTTCGGATCGGAAACCCTTCGCCAGCGAAGATGGTCATTTGAAATCGGTAAAATAGTCTAGCATTTCGTTTATTTCTGTGAAAAAAAAAAATAAAAAAAATTTAAAATTATAGAATTTTCTCTCTTTGTTTTTCCAGAAAGTTACGTTTTTTGAAAATTCACACCAATATCTATATAAATATAAATATCATTCAAAGTTGTTGACTTATGAGAAATGACTTGGAGGTATAGGTGGCATATAGCAATTTAATGCTAACGTTCGCAGGCATTTGCTAAAAAGTCTTGCATCCCCTTGGGTCAAAACATGTGTGGATCTGGCTGGGACCATAAAACTTAGATGAGCTTACTTTGATCTATGTTTTATGGCCCCCAGGCCTACAAGGGCGGATTCAGGGGGGTTGGGGGGTTGGGTTCGGGAAACCCACCCCCCGCTCATTGATATTTTTTTTTTTAACAAGTGTCATTTTGTTGCATTGATAAGACTCTAATAAACATAAAGCCTTTGTTTGTACAACTGTGAAATATACATCCACTACGTAACAGGAGATCTCTTTCCGCTTGAACGCACACAATACACAGGTAATCAACAGAGAGAGTGCCTTAGACATCGGGTAGTCTGTGCATCTAGTGAAGTCACAAGATCACAGTACAATGTAGTAAGGTACCAACAACAGAAAACTGCATAGTTACGGTGCTGCTCAGTAATATTCTTTTGCTGATAAAATGCATGTTTTTTAAACTATGAATAAACTATTATTCAGTTTTTTTTTACCGTTTTAAGTTAAATTAATATATTTTTTTTACAAAACCAGGTTGGCTTAGCAAACCCCTCTAGTTTTGACAGATTCTCCAGTTTATGTAAATTTTTTCTTCAGTTAAGACAGTTTGAAATTTCATTAACTGTACACGTGTGTTTATATTCCAAATCATATTGACAGTATATACTCAAGTAAGTTGAAAAGCACAAGTTAGGGATTCTGAAAAGAATTCAATTTTTAATTTTTTTAGTGTTTAAAAATTTGCACATTAGTTGTATCTTGGAAGTCAGCTTGACATAGAACTAAATTAATTCTAGGTGCATTTAAAGTAAACTAAGACAACTTGAAGTCAACTGCTTGCTTTTCTAAAATTGTCAGATTTAACATTTTTTTAAAGCCATATATGGCGTATTTGAAATGAAAATTATTAGACTAAAATTATAAGAACTTATTATTTGTATCATTACTTTATATAAAGATAGAACTTTTCCGTAAATTACAAAATCTAAGTCAATTGCGTTATAAAGATATCACAATTTAATTTGGGTTCTCGGAATTTTCTCCGTCTCGGAAGAAAATACAAAAGATTTAAATAACACAATACAGAGAAGATAAAATCGTATTATTAGACGAAAAAACGAGGTGTTCTCCGTGTTCAGAATTGTTTGAAAAGTTTTGATTTAAATGTATTAACTATATTTCTTTACTTAATTTTGTATTTTTCAAAAATATATTTTTTTGATCAGTTACGCCATATATGACTTTAAAGCAAAGTCTAAAGTCTTGTGTTAAAGTTAAATTAAACTGAAAACATTTTATCAAAAATTTGTGATGATCGGTCTTTAAAAAAGCTACAAAAAGTACCCCTAAAATGCTGGAAAATGCACCATTTAGAACCATTTAAAACAAAATTTCCAACTATGGGAGGGGGACACCCCCTCCCATTCCCTCCCCCTTGGGCCCCTTGGGCCTCAAACCCCCCCCCCCCCCCCACATGAACTTCTGGATCCGCCACTGGCCTAGTGGGTGGTCCGGAACCCCCCCCCCCCCCCTATTTGCATAGTTAATAAAAAAAAATGTATATACTTAACCAGCCATTAGTTACATTGGTGGCCACTTGAAAACGCAGATCCGTGTAAAATTGATATGAAAAGTCAAAGATGTCAAAGATATGAAGGTTAAGATTTTTTTGTACCCGCGCCCAGCAAGTCAAGGCCGCTATGGCCCCCCCCCCTTAATATCGGGGTATTTGGTACCAAGGGTGAAATGTTAAATAATAATGATAATATTTTTAATCCAATGCATTGAATGATTTTTATTTTAAATATATAAAATTATAAATGTATAGTTATAGGTCTCATCAGGTCATTATACCCCACATTATAACATTATACCCTGTAAATTTTATTTGTCTTGTAGAGAAATATTAATAAGAATTATTTTCACTTTTTTTCTCATAAATCTTACTGAAAATGAATTTCATATTTGAATTATAATCAGTTAAAAGAATTTTTTGTAGGTACTTGAGTGACAAAGGTTCATTACAGGGCATTATACTATCTGGACATTATACCGCCCCCTAACAGAAAACTGACCAATCACAGAAGCGTTATGTGTAGCAGAAGCTTTCGCGGACTTGAAAGTTGAAAACAAGCTACAGCCGCTGTAGGAGAAGGTTGGAACACTATGATATGTTATCATTCATATTCTTAATTTATTTGTTTTCTTCACCATTGTTTGTTCAGTTATGTTGACTCGCAATAACATATCACGGACATGTATACAGTCTATAGAATGTCCCTTGTAAAACCATCAACAGTGTTTGTTATCTTATATTACCAGCAAGATTTGCATGTTTTAGCCCAATAGAAGGGGAAATTGATACAAAAGGGCAGGCATTAGGTTTTGAAACACTTCAAACAGAAAATGTGAAAAGGCTGAAACTGTAAAACCAAACCAGATATTTGAACATGGACCCATATGGTCTATTACGGATATATGAGCTATCAGCTAGTCCACCATTCCCTTCTCCCTGTTCCTTCTTTTTAATTGTCTTTTTTGCCAAAGACATCAGGAATTGTTTTTCTCAAGGTTTTCATGTGTCTGTTAGATGGATTCATGCCATCCGGCTCACAAGAGCACCTTGACTTGAAAAAATTTAAAACATAGTTGGTTATTTAAGCAAAGACATTGACGTTTTAGAGGAATAAATGATAGATATTTTTAAAAAATTTAACTAACTTAAAATAGGATTGTGATCGAATAGCTTAATTGGCCCAGTGAAGCATCTGTTACCAGAGACTACCTGGGGGTCTGGGTTTGATAATGTAAATAATGCAGTCCATTAGGGCTGGGACGATACAACTTTTTCTATATCTATACGTATCACGATATTTGACCCACGATACGATATGTTTAATTGCTTATAAAATCTTTTTTTGCATTGAAATAATCAAATTATTTCTTTGCAAATAATTTAATTTATTCAGAATAGTTGCTTTATAATATGTTGTAAAACAAAAATATTTAACTCAGGTGTTGTTAATTATTATTTATTTCATATCTAGTATGTTTATATTTAGCTTATTTGTCTTATATATTAAACCCCAAATGCTAATTAAACAAAGAAAAATAGAAGTAAGATTTTTTGGGGTGATATTTCGATTTTTTTTAATACGTATCGATATGCGTATCATCCTCATAGATTTCTCGATATATCGTCCCAGCCCTACAGTGCATTGCATTTCCTACATCTCACTCTAATGAACGGAAACAAAAGGAAGAAATAAAAGAGCATAGAGACTAGCCTTTAAAAAAAGATATGAGCCCTTGAATACAAAACAGATACCTTTCAAACCAAACTGCATGTCTGGTACCACCATAGACAAGCAGTGAAATACACCTGTCCAATTGCCTTATTTTCACCTTGACCATTTAAATTAAGATTTTCAGAAAATTTGAATGAGCAGACAGATATGTTTATGTGTACTTATTAATATAAATTTCTCTTATAGAATGGAGAACAATGAAAAAACAGATTCATCTAAGATCACAGCATACTTGACCAGTCCAGGTATATGATATTTTCATTGACATGCATGCATGCATTTATTAACATTCAGAGTGAAGCATGGTTAAGTGATCATGGTGATAATAGCATTGTAACATCAATATCTCAATATTCTATAAAGGTATTATATTTAGCGGACTATTCTATTTAGCGATTTTGGTGGAAAACAGAATCTGCTAAATCAAATACATTGCTAATTGTCTTTTATATCATATGTACTAGTGGAAAGTAAAGTGGGGAAAAATGAGAGTAAATGGTTGATTCCTTTATCTAAATTGTTAAATTCATTTTTTAGGAAAGAAGAATTGTATGGAAAATGATAAATCTGATTCCAAGTGTTTCACCCCTTGTAAAGTAGAATTGAATGTAAGTTTAGTTATCAGCTAGTATTTATAAAAGTACTGATATGTGTTTTCTGAATTTCAAA